CGTCAGGTTAGGTCGCTGGGAGATCAAAGCTGGAAGCCTAGGTGAATACTATCCGGCCACCGTCGCCAACATCAACCCAAAGAAGAAGAAGGCTCCTGTTAAGGCCCCTGGGCCGAAGGTTGGCAGCGAAGAAGCGCCTCCCCTCTCCCCTCTCTCCCCTCTCTCCGACTCTCTCCCATCCTCAGGTCCACTACACTGCCTACGGGGAGGAGGCCGATGCCTGGGTGTCCTTGGATATGCTCAAGTCCAAGGTGCCCCCCCCCGCTTCTCAAGCGAACGCAAGTTGAGTTGTCTTCGTGTTTCTTCCGCAGGCTTTGCCGAAGGAGAAGGCTGCGAAGCCCGCCAAGGCGACCGAGAAGAAGACAGCTCCCAAAGCCAAGGCACGCAGCCGTTCACGCGGCTTCGGCAAAATGAGCTCCTGTTATGTATATGTTCTCCGCATGCCAAGGCTAAGGCGGCCCCAAAGCCGAAACCCATGGACTACTCGGCTGTGAAGCACCTTGTCCGACTTTTCGGTCGTTCACCGAGTCGTTACCATGACACTTGAGCTGTGCTTCTTCGGGGAAGCTGTATTGCCTACTACACATGGTTCCTTTGGAGATCTTGAGCTTGGGACGGTGCGTGGAAGGACGCCTAAGGGTTTGCGGAAGCGATGCCTCCGTGGAAGGTCTGCAGACGAACAGGCTTGTAGAGCATAAATCAAGCTTGTGAGCTACGGGATCTGCACTGGAAGCTGCTAAACACTGAACTTCGAGCTCTACAAGAAGAAGCCCTTCCCTCCGTGCCAGGAAAGGCATGCGCCTTCAGGCGGAAGCACCTCGGCCTTCCGCGGAGCATCGGCAAACATCTGAAATCTTCCTGACCTCGCAAAAAAACTCACAAGGCCGACGGAAAGTACTGGGCAGCGGAAGCGGCTTGGCACTGCAATCTCCCCCTTTTGCCACACCTTGCGGGACTCGGTGTAGCGGCGTGTTAGCACCTTGAGGTCGTGGCCGTGAATCTGAAGAAGAAGGGAACGCCTGTCAAGGCTGAGCTGGACTTGCAACTCCACTGCTCGACCATGCCTTGGCTCATGATTTGCATCACCACCATCGTCAAGACCCCTCTTCTCTTCGCCGACACCGCGACCATCGTCATCGTCGTGTCGTAAGCTTTGTAATTCATGATACTGGTATTTGATTATCAGCCCTGGCCAAAATCTACCGTGGTTGATGCAGATGCGACACCCGATGTTTTGACAATCGTCCATACAGGGATTTGCAGTTTAGAGCGCTTGCCATCCGGAGGTAAACTTCATCGGCTACGACAAACAGTACGACGAGTGGCTGGGTGCGGACCGTCTCCGCTCCAAGGCGATTGTGCCGCTCAAAGAGAAGGACAGGCCTAAAGGTCAAAGAGATCGAAGAGAACAGGGGAGATGTTGTCTAGTTCTTGGGAGACTCGTAACTACTCGTATCTTGTCCTTAGCAGCTGTAGTATGTTCCGTCATATCACCGGCTGCTGTGCCACAAGCACATCACAGCAGAACCGGTTTTCAAGCACTAGGGACATGCTCTGATCTGATAGATCGCTTGCTAAACTACTACCGACCTGCCTCCGCACATGCAAGATGGAGGGTTCTTCTCGTGGCTTGAGTCCTGCCAGGAGGGATCCAAGGCGGGGTGGGGTTGTTTGTCAAAGAGTTGGCCCCGAAACTTTTGCGGAGCTTTCCGATTCTCGAAAAAAATCGTTGTCAAAGCTTGAGGATCCTGCTTCTGCAGGCCCCCTTTGGTGCCATCATGCCACCAATGGCAAAGAAGTACCTCCTTGTCAAGGCCAAGGTGGGCAACCCAAAAAAGGAGCGCGCTCTGAGATTTTGGGCCCCCGAGCGCCCTTTGCTCCAGGTCAAGGCTCCCCTTGACCCAGGCCTCAGACAGCAGACTGCAGTGCTGTTGGTCTCCCCGTCTTTTGGAAAAGAGTTCTGGTTTAGTTTGGGCAGGCTTTTGCCCCTTGATTCTTGCCAAGCAGAAGTACCTGGAGGCGACCAAGGACTGCACGCTGGGTATGTCGCTTCGCTCATCGCTTCTTGCACTTTGCGAGCTGCTGCAGGAGTGCACCGACAAGATCCAGTGGGCCTTGCCGCGCGAGGAGGGCTGCGCGCGCTACTCTCTGCCCGTTTTCCCGGAGACCAACAGGACCCGTATCCCCGCCCAGTTTGGTTGCTCTGTGCCTTCCACTGTCCGCAGGGACTCCCGAGCTTCGGCCTACCTCGCGGGCGTCCTCATCCAGGAGCTTCGCAGTGCCTCAGCCTGTAAACCCTGTAAACCCTCCTTTTCAGCTAAGCTCGTGTGGAGGAAATGATCTGGCAGCGAAGTGAACCCAACTCAGCAAGTTAGGCCTTGAGTCCCTTGCAAGACTTGGATTTCAGCTTTGAGCTCAGTGAGATAATGAGATCTCTCGAGTTGCTCCGAGGCCTCGAGCCTGATCCTCTTCGGGCCCCCCAAGATCTGCGCCTTGGCTTCCGATTTCACTGCAGTACTCCGTACTTGTACGTGTTAGTGCCAACCATGAATGGTGACAGGCCAGTTCCTGCAGAAGTGCTACTCGGTTGGAGGTTACGGGGTTCGGGAAAAGCTGGAAAGCTTACAAAGTTGATCTCGCTGGCAGGAGCTTACGAATTCGAGGTGATGTCCATGCCCAACGCAGCTCGGCTGCTACCTTCTGAAACTCCCGCGGAGCTTCCGTTGACAAAGCTCCCGAGTGCAGGTCTGCGGCACACCGGACAAGCCTTTCGAGGCTGGACTTGTTGGAGCATGAGCTCGTCGGTTGCAGATGCTTCTCTGTGCACGAGGTGAAAATCGTGGAAAACGAGTCCGATCTGCCCGCTGCATTCGACACACCTCAGGCTACAGTACCGCAAACTCGTACTTTCACAAAGCTCGATGCTTTCTGCTGTATTGCCAGGTCTGCGGCAAGGACGCCAGTGGTTGCCGCCTTGCCTTTGATCTGGGCAAGAGTGGCTCGGCGCGAGGGAGAGGGAGAGAAATGGGAGCGAGAGAGAGAGAGAGAGGGGGGCTTCACTGTCACGCGCCCTTCTTGTACCCGGATTACATCGTCGACCTCCGGTGTACAGAGGTGACATCAAGACGGTGGCTGTGAAGGACAACGATGTCGTGTACTCGAAGGAGACGGAGTGGGCCCATGCCTCAGATCGGCCTCAGGATCACAAAGGCCTTGGTCCAGAGTTCAGAACTCTGCGAGGATGTGACCAACCCGGATCCCCAGTACCACTACGATGCGTTTCTCGGCAAAGACTAAGAGGGCCCTACTTAGGGCTGTGCGTTGTGTGCTGCAGCAGCCTGCATTTATCTTGCATATATCTATCGTGCCGAGGATCCTCGCGGCATTGAAGCTGGCCAAGGAGACGCTACCCAAGGCCCCTCCTTCTGCCCGATCTGGCCCTGGCCTTCGGCTGCAGTGTAGGTCGATGCCATTGGTGGCAGCGCTACAGGGACCGTGTCGGCCCACAACGAGGTCGGGAAACTCCAGCATTCGCAACACAACGCTACTCGGCAATCGAGGCGACCTGGTGTGACATTTTCCCTAACGTCCCACCGGATGTCTACAAGGAGAAGGTTGTCGTCGGCTTAGAGGGCGCGGTAAGGGTGCAAGGACACACAGACCGCTGTGTGACTGAGGTGGACATCTTCGTGCGATTGGGTAAGGAGATCGCTGGAGACGTGCCGCTGAAGGTCATCAACGATGGAGAGGCAACATGGCCTTCAACAGGGCCAACAGGGGCGGGAAGGCAGTGCCGCGACACCTGACCTGCACGGGCCCTTGCCACACCAGGTCACGGCCCTGGCCGCAGTGCAGAAGATCAAATCTGGAAATGCGCGGACCCTTTTTTGAGAGCATGCGGAGCAGTGACGGAGGAGATGATGATGAGCAGTGTGGTGGTTTGCTGTTGCGGGGCACCAGGTCATGGGCATTTCCATGGGAAGCAGCGAGGGTGCCGGTGCGCAGCCTCAGAGATTCCAGCGAGAAGGCAAATCGCAGGCCTCAGGCTTCCAGAGTTTTGATTTCTGGGTTCAAGGCTATGCCAACGCAGACGGGAACCTCATGGGCTGGATCAGCGAGTGCGGGTCCTTATGGCTTCTCAGGTTTCCTCATACGGATGGCTCCCCAGAGCTGTTCGCGAGATATGCGCCGTATAAGTCCCAAGTCGCCTAAGTGTCTGCATTGCGGTGCAGCTGCTCAGGCTCTGCTACTGCCGTCTGGACCTCAACCCGAAGGCCGAGAATGCCGAAAAGACTTCTGGGCTGGGCTTTTTGTGGCTGCCTTCTGCCCCCCTTCGCCCTGCAGGCCCCCACAGATCCCTGGTCCAAGGGAGCCCACAGGCGCGTCAGCCTTCCTCCCTTGAACTTCGATGCATCCTATGCCCTGTGCTTCAGGGGCCTTAGCCACATGTACCTGGGACAGCGCGGCACCACGAAGTTGGCGGCCAAGGGCGGCGTCGAGGTCCCTGCCAACTACAAGTTCTGGCCTCGGATCCAGGATCCAAGTCGGCAGAGCGGGGTCTTGGGCTCATTGAAAGCCGGTGCTTGAAAACTCGAGGTACCCGCATGCCGACATGGTTACCATCAAGCACGAGAACCACGCGCAGTGCCTCAAGCTGCCTGAGACCGAGACCCCAGACGTTCCACCAACTCATTCCGATGCAGCTTGTGCATGAAGGATCCAGGAAGCAATGAAGACGGACAAGGAGCCTGAGGCTGGCGCAGCAAGAGTTTGGGCGTGCGGGTTTGGGCGTGTGGGGTGGGGGTAACTTTGGGGGTGGGGGTGTGGGGTGGGTGGGTGGGTGAAGGTTCGGAAGATCTATGAGACTGTGGGCGTGTACCTCGGCTACGCTCTTGCACAGTGCCCTTGCTTTGAGAGGCGCTCCATTCCCTGCTGCTGATCCTTGAACCCTTTGTCCGGAAAAGGTACAGTGAGTTCTACAAGATCGATCATGTCATGATCTTGGGACGCGTCAGCAAGGGCAAGGCTGCCCCATGCTGCCTCCCCTTGTGGACTTCTTGTGTTTCGGCAAGACTCGAGATACAGATTCACTTTCGCAGATCCTGCTCGCAGGGTGGAGACATCATGCTTGACACGGCCAAGAAGGTCCTTCAGGAAGAGTTCCCACAGTTCTCTCACATCACGCGCCTTGCTTGCACAGAGAGCCACAGCCGTCACAGGGTTATGAGACAAGTCTGAGAGGTTCCACACGGCCGACGACCACTTCAAGGCAAGACCCCATAAGGCACGGAAGTCCGAACGAAATGCTTTTCTGCCGAGGCCGTGGGACAGTGCATCGCCGCAGCGGCGCTGCCCGAGTTGAAGTGCGGAGCTCTGTCAATCGGAGGACGGATACATTTGGGAGTTCGCTTTGGGATTTACTGATCGAGTGTCTTTTTCTCTCGAACTGTTTTGTGTCTCTGAGAAGGAGAGGGAATGTTGTGGACTTGTGGAGCCTCTGCGTTTGAGAGATGCGAACTGTCTCGGTCCGAGGTAAGATGGTGAAGCAGGAGACTCTGCAGGCTTGCCATGGTTCACGGACCAGAAGCTTCTGGGCGAGTGTCCCATGGCAGGACGAGGGATCTATGTTTTATAGCTTGACAAATCGTTTCTGGCGCATGGCTGGACCAGAGCACTCCACGACAGGCATCCTTGACTCGGGTCGAACACATACCCGTTTAGTAAACAAGCAAAGAGCATCTCTGTAACAAAACATGGGCGTGTGTGTATATATATATATATATGTGCATGTGCACATGCATGCGTGCACACTTACCAATGCATGAACCCCAGACACATGCTTCTGCATAACGCAAGCACATATAGTGTCAGAGGCTGCGCTGCTAGTCGCAAACGCAAGTGGAACCTCTTCAGCCGCGTATATGGTCCTCTATAGGAGAGCTTTTGACAGAGACCGCAGACCGCCTGCGCCGGCATCGAAAAAAAGGTGGCTGATGCCCCGCCGAGAATCCGCTGCATGTGCTGGAGGAACGTTCAGCTCCCACCCGAAAGGGGCGCCTTCTGCACCATCCATCGCTCCGAGGCAGGGCGTGGAGGATGCGCCGGCGCTGAGCGCAGCATCGGCCTCAGAGGTAGGCTTCGCCCCCGTCTTTTGTTGGGCGGGTCATACTTTCGCTGAGTCGGTCGTCTGTTCCTGTGATTGTGTGAGTGTGCGTGTTCGCGTTTGTTCGGGTGTGACTCCGAGTCCGAGGGCCACTGCGGTTTGTTTGTGCGTTCGCACATCCTTCCAGAGACGTAACTGCTGTGCCATGCCCTGTGGACATTCTCGCCGGTGTGCTATCAGCTTGTTGAGATGAGAAGTCTCTGTGAATCGTCCGCTGTCTTTACGCAAGGTCGTGAAGCATCTGTGGCTTCTGAAGCCACAGGGACAGCATACACTGAGGCGGCTCCTCTGGGTGCCTGCCCCAGTTCGGTGAACTTGAAATCTCGCACCGGGCACAGCGTTGGAAGGCCGGGCCGGTTTGCTTTGTGAGGTGTCGCAGCTCACGAGCAACCATGTGGAGCTGGAGCTCTCAGCGCCTTTTCACAGATGCCCGGCAATTCGGCAGCGGTAGCTCCAGGTTCTGCCCCTTCCTGCCGAATTTGATGGCCACACTCCTTTCCTTCTTTACCGAAGTCCCGCTCCCGCATTCCTACAGTGAGCATGGCAATTGTGGGAATGCGAATGCCTAATCTTGGATTCTACATCTTTGCGGGCCTGTCCAAAGGCTGAGACCATGTTCATTGTCCGCCAGCTGCTGCTGGAGGCGCGGGCTGCGGCTCGGAAGCGTCGAAGCGTCGAAGCATTGTCCTCTCCGTGAGGCGGAGAACGCCGCCGGAGGAGTCCTGGCCTCGGAGATGCCGAAACAATGAGAAGAGAATGTCCACAGGATTTGAAGGGAAGCCCGGTCTCTCAAGGAAAGCCCGAAAATCATCCTGAACCTCAGCCAGATGCAGAAGCAGGTGCCAAGCGTGCTGCATTTTCCCCGGCATTCACGAGTGGATGCATCGCGTTTAATATAATATGGTATAAGCCAATAACAAGGACTATCGTAATCATAATCTTTTCTTCGGGGTGTGGTGCCAGGTGCTTATTTTTGTTGCTTACCAGCAGTGCCATTGTCTTGAAGATATGGTTTCCGTTGTGACAGCTGAACACGTCTCACTGCCGCAGTGTCCCTCTACGCGTGGTGTTATGATTTGTTCAATAACCGGTCTGCGCTCGAAAGAAGATATATACATAAGTCTATATACTACCTATACACATGCATACATACATACATACAGACACACACACACACCCTCTCTTCTCTCACTCTCCTCTCTGTCTCCCTCTCTCTCTCTCTCTTCCTCTCTATCTGCACCTGCCTCCCTCCCTCCGTCTCTTGCTCTCGCTGCCTCTCTCTCTCGCTCTCTCCCTCCCCTCGCCCCCCCGCTCTCCCTCTCTGTCCCTCTCCCTCGATAGGCCAAGCTGCTGGTGCGGGAAGGCTGTGCGTCTAAAATCCGAGGCACAGGTGGCACAAGCCGTGTTTGGCAGACTTGTAGAGGCAAGAAGCGGGGCATCATCCCCAACATCCTCGAGCACCTGGAGAGTCTAGGCCAGGGCAGTTCTCTCCCAGTGCCCTCTAGTCCGCTGCACCATCCGCTGCGGGAGGGCTCAACACGGAGGAGGTGGCCACGCGCCTGCTCCAGGACAGCTACGGCTGCTACTGCTACTGATTTTTACGGTCTTGTTGACTCGGATTTGCTGTGGCAGGGGATTGCACATGTAATCTATTGCAAATAAAGCTGCAGTCTACCACGGACCCCCAGAAAAGAGTTGTTGGCAACCGGACCCTCTCTGATGCGTCGACGTCGGATGTGCATGACACGTCGATCCCAAAACTGAAAGTAACTAGACCACTGCTGCAGCCAGTGCGCTATAGCTGGGACCTAGCCAGGACGGGCTGGCGAGCAAGCTGAACTTCCGGGCGCTTTGTCGCCTTGTGGGTGCCTTCCTTGGCGAGGGCAGCGAGGCGGGAAGGGAAGTTCAAAAAGCTGGGTCAGGCAGAGATTGCTGAGGCTTCAAAGAGCAGGGGTTGCAGGATCACGAGTTTGCTTTCAACTGCAACCGCCCGTTGTCGCAAGGTCATCCTGCGATTCGCATTAGCTTTGCTGAAGCAGTCGGAGGAGGCCCTCCTCGCTTGTTCCTCCAGCCACGAGGCGGCCAGAGAGGGTCCGGAGCTGCGGCTGAGGGGCTGAGGCTGATGATGATGAGTAGGTAGTGGTGATGTAAATGCTGGGGACTGGGACCGTAGGGACGTCCTTGAAGTCATCCTTGTAAGAGTTGTTTCCGGCATGATGAGCCTGTCTGTGTGTGTGTGTGTTATTGTGTGTTCATGAGTGTAGTGTAGTTGAGAAATCCTGCTCTATTCTGTGTGACCGTGTTGACGTTCCTTTTACGGTACCTGTATGTGGTACTTGAATTAGCATGCTTGTGAAATCACACATGCCTTTGTTTGAGTGCCGATGTACCTCTGTCTGTAGACATCTTGAGACCAAGCTCAGTGTGCTATTAGAAAAGTCCGTCTGCACCTACGCCCCCTGGTATCCCAGCTTTCAAACTGGTAGCGGAGCCAGATAGGGCAGCGGACTGTAGTGTTTCACTTGGTGACTTATAGAGTCTGGTAGCAGTCGTGCCAGCCATGTCGGTCGTAGGTCCGAGGTTCCAACCATGTAATGGGTTTGTGAGCGCCGCACCGACAACAAAGTCTGAGTCATGCGCGTGCGAGGAACCCGCTTCCAGGTTCCATGATTCAGAATACCGCGCAGGGATGCGAGCGCTGCAACACCGCGAGCGACAGCGCCGCGAAGGTTTGAAGGTTTTGGGGCCCGCTGAATTGGCCAAGTTCCCTTCACCTTGTAAGTGACGTGATGTAGCTCGGAAATCGGGCAGCACAAGCATTACCTCAGCCTATAATGGCGAAGCAAGTAGTCGATCGTTTACAGCTTCAGCACAGACTGAAGGAGCCGTGACACCAGCCGCAAAGCCAGCTGTGTCAAAGCCTCAGGCCTATATGGCGACGGATGCTGCTTCCGCTGGCAGCTGGCCGAGACCGTCGAGGCACGCGATGGTTGCTTGCACTGAGGGCGTTTCGGATATACACCCAGCCCTAGCCTATCTTCCCGTAGTAAACATCTACGAGTCCCAGCATGTATTTGTTGTTTTTGATGAAGGGCGCAACTCTACTTTCCACGGTTCTGGGTGGATTGCTAACGCCGCTGGGAAACTTGCAAGTTTGGGTTATAGCACCCGCTTTAAGCCCGAGAACAGCCGAACCTTCAAAGGTTTGTGTGGAGCTACAGAAACACTGGGTAGCCGCGTTATCCCATTTTCGATTTTGGGTATCGATAAGGGCTCAAGGGTGCCTGGAGTGCTAGATTCACACGAAATCAAGGGTACAGCCCCTTTGTTGTTATCGCTGTACGCACGGGCGCAGTTGGGCATTACGAAGGATTTGCGTACGGGTTCTTGTGGTATTAGGTTACCTTCTGAAGACTCCCTTATACAGGTGCAGTTGTGCCGTACACACGATTCTGGGCTCCTGCGCATAAACATCAGTGAAGGTTTGATGAGGCCCAAGCAACCTAGATTAATTCTAGAGTTCAAAATCCCGTCACCACCAATCCCCATGCACAAGAACGTTTCCATTGCGGCTGCGGATCCAGCTCACGAGGTTCTGAAGGTGAGCATGAATGACAACACGCACGTTAGCAGACTGCATAGCGAGCATCGCAGTCACAGCACTGGAGATTACGACATAACACGTAATCCGAAGAGGCGTATAAGTGTCGCATTTCCGAACTTGTGCATGACGGCTTCTAGTGAAGCAGGTGTAGGGCGTGCAGGCATGGCAGGTCCACCGAGGAAGGCACCGCCCGATCATCTCATCGGTGCCGAACCCGGGGTCACAGTACCCCG